CCAACCATCTAAAAATGTGCGTCGACTTTGTTGTGAACGCACCATAATAGCATTATAAAGCACTGTATTCTTTGGTCTTGGTTTTACTTTTCTGAAACTTTGTATTGGGCTCATTTTTTTAATTTATAATCTTCTTGTAGGCATATTTCCTTGTGTGTCAGTTGCTTCCTGTTTTAAGTCTGGTTTACAACTACTGTGACTGTGTGCGCCTGCTCTTATGTGTCACACCTGAGTCAAAGGATCCTGCCTCCTTTGTGTATATAGTCTACATGCTCAACACTCTCCTTTCCTTCATTCACATATCTTGTTCCTACTGTGTCAGTTTTTCCTAGTGGTTTCCTGGTTTTGTATTTTTTAGTAGTTACTTGCCAACTAAATCATAAGCCTGCCTATTTGTCTAGTAAATCCACCATAATCTCTACCAGCCTTGTCCTTGGTCTGCTACTTAGCTCCTGCAAACTGTAAATCGAACACATTTATCATATCTAACAGCTCGTGTCAGTTCACTTTCAGATTCAACGTCTACAAACAAAACATAGAATCATTAAATAAAACATAATGAATAAACTAAAACAAAAGTCATGCTGCAGCTTGTAAAACATAATCTGGTACCTCCCTTCATAACAGGTTATAGTATGAGGGCTTTATCTTTTAAATAATGTGTCAGTCAATAAATCAAGGTCTTTGAATATCTCTATTTTATCCTTTAAAATTAAATCTACAACAAAAAGTGTTAGGACTGAAAGGGATCCCTTTGTGGTATTTGTCTTTACTATTTGAGCCTCTCCTAACTCCTTTTTCTCTTTCTTTTAGACATGCACTGATCCTCTGGAGATGCTCCGAAGCTTCTCCGGAGGAGGTGTATGTGTGAACGCAAATGTCAGAGTGAGAGCCTACGGAGTTTCTGCAGACTTTCTCTGCATGGCCCCCTAGTGTAAGGTCCACAGAACATCTGCAGGAGTTGCTGTGAGAACACATCAGGAGGGCAGAAAATGCAGAGCCACACACGACGAAGACACTGAAGATGATTAGAATTTTTGGTGATAAGAGCCAATGCCGTTGTTAATGTAATGTAAACAAAGTAACGTGATCTCCTGAACTGACCAGTGATCAGATCTCTCAGGATGGATTTTAATGCCAGGTCTGAACAAGGGCAAAGTGCCTCTTTCAACAGATGAATTAAAAAAGACCATGGTGTCCAGCTTAAAACACCCACCAACTTCTGTGTATTCCTCAACTGATGTCAGGAAAAATTAATACATTTTTACAGGAAGGTTATTAAGCTTGGGGAAAACATACCATGGAAGTTAATCACATAAGACAATAAATGAATGAGTGAGGGGGTTCTGGTGAAAGTCTGTAGGGTGCCAGAGCTTGTGGAATAACATGACAGAGACAGGTAAGGGGAGCGTGGTCTGTGTTGCTGTAGAAGTGAAGACTGGTGTATTTATTGTAATCATGAATCCAACTCAAAGCAGCCTTATTATAGCGATGATAGTGGTCCAGCAGTATTAACAACTCATAAAATGGGACACAGCTCCTGTGCTTTGCTTTTTAGCCAGGCAATAAGGATTTCTATTCTAAATTCCCATTAATGCTTCTACATTAATGGCTACTCTGTAGACTAGTAGACCTGGTAAGTAGGTTCTGAGGTTACATTGTAGGACACATCATAGTTGATGTGCACCTCCTCAAAAAAGTTGCCATTTTGACAGAGCAGCCACGTGTAAACATCAGGAAGTGAGACTATAGCAGCTCATGTTTTCCCTTTTTTATGCTTGTGAAGTTTGCAGAAAAAGAACACATTTAGGGGTAAGGTTAGAAATTTCAATTCAATGAACTTTTTGTTAAATTCTGCTCATAAAGTCTAACGGACAAATAACAAAATGTTCCGCTCTTGAGCTGGGAAGAAAATCCAGTTTAAATTCTCAGCCCTAGCTGCACAACACTGTTCAAGTTAATCAGCAACAAGGTTATTTGTGCTTGTGCACAGTACAAGGGGTGAGGACCACACAAGTCCATAACACCCCCCAAGCGGGCAGCAGGCAGTCACTAACACCGGTGGTAGAGTGTAGGGTTGGGCAATTAACCAAAAATGTATTGAAACCAGCATTAGGAACCTCTAACAGACTTAATCTTGACGGTTAATGTGTGTATTCAAAAACTGGTTTCTGCAATGTTCATTTCGCAGCGGCGGCCCAGATGTGCTGCTTCAGCATCAGGGCAGATAACAAACCGGTGGGGTGGGGGGGCGGCAATTGACATGATATTGATTCAAAGTCATATTGCCCAGCCCTAGTACAGAGGTAACGGTCGATCAATGTCTGACTGTCAGCTTCTTCTACAGCAGACAGATACTCACTGACTCAACTGGCTGACTCTAGTGCGTAGTTAGTGTATAATGCATAGTTAGTGTGAATATGGAGGGTGTATTTAATCTACAGATAATGCTAGTGTTTGAGGTGGATTATTCCAATTTTTGAGATCAGTGGTGCAACTTGGCAATGCACTGCATGAATATGGGGGGGTATATTTTGAAGGAGCAGTGAAAAGAGGGGTGTATTTGTTTTCAGATATCAAGTAATTCCCCAGAATCAGTAATTCCACCTTTAAGAATAACAAAGAGATTGTATAGCACACAGCTTGTCCATTGTGAATGTCTCTCTGTACTGAATGAATAAATGTAAATACTGTAGTCATTGCAGAGCAGTAGTGCCGCTTATCCTTTGAGGGTCACGGGGAGAGCTGGAGCCAATCCCAGCTGACATTGGGCAAGAGGCAGGATACACCCTCGACGGCAAGCAAGGGTTAAAAAGAAAAAGAAAGGGAAAGAAAAATGAAAAAATAAATAAATAAACAATCGAAAGAAGTTGTAATAAAGGATAAAATAAAGACATAAAATAATAGTAGGATTGGGTTGTCAATAAAAATAAATGACATTTAAAAGATGGAAGTGTTGGAGCACACCTGACATAATATGGTAAGATGTTCCAGCTGCTTAGAGCTTAAAAGCTAAAGGCACCAGTTTTTGTTAGGGAATAACCAGTCGGCCTGCTCCAGATGATCGAAGTTGCCAAGGTGGTTCATAGCTAACATGTCAGTAATATATTGACGTGCCAGACCATGTAGGGCCTTAAAACAAAGTATTAATATTTTTAAATCAATTCAAAAATGAACTGAAAGCCAGTGTAACGACTTCAGCACATGTGCAATATGGTCATATAGCCTTTTTCTTGTTAAAACTCTTTCAGCTGCATTCTGGAGTCGCTGCAGCTTATCCGGATGCTTTTTACAGGTTCCTGTGCGGCATGTTGCCGTAGTAGACCAACTGTGGTTGGGGTGGAAACCAGATTGGTAGAGGTCCTGCACTTTTTTGGTTGCCAGGTAATCCATTAACTTTTAGTAGACAACTAGAGGTTAGAGATTGCTTTGTAGTTTCTAATAATAGATGGGTCTAGACTGTGCTTCTTTAAGAGAGGTTTAACAACTGAAGATTTGAGTGTGCTTAGGAAAATGCTTACGTTTACAATGGTTAAAATGTATTCAGATAGCAGTTAAAGGTTCAGTGTGTAAGATTTAGGTGAAAGGGATCTATTGGAAGAAATGTAATGTCAAATAATCCTCATGATGTTTTCACTAGTTTGTTTCATCTAAATTGTATGATTTGTAGTTTTTTACCCCAGAAAAGGCCCTTTATATTTAAATACTTTATATCTGCATCGAGGGGGTCCTCTCTAAGGAGGCCGCCATGTTTTTATAGTTGTCCAGACTGGACAAACTAAACACTTTTTGAGTTTTTATGACAACTGAAGGCTACAAAAGGTTATTTTTCATGTTTGGAAGGAGAGGGTGAGGTGAGGGGTGTTCAGCTGCAACATGCAATTTCAACACTTGATATCACAAAATTCTACACACTGTGCCTTGGAAACAATTTTAAAGGTGGTGGGGATGGGATCAAGAAAAGAAATAGTACAGTTAAGGCTCTGTACCATCAATTCTAGATCATCAGCACTGACTATGTAAAATGCCTTAAAATTGCATACAACTCAGAAGGAGGCTGAGAAGGAGGAACACCAGCTTATTGAAGGGGCCAACATATGGAGACCTGATAACACATGCATCAAATGGTGAAATCTGAAGAGCACATGTGTTTTTAGGATGGACCAATGGTTCCATGAGTTTACAAAAGAAATCTGACTGTTGTAGCATCTTAGACATAAAACAGAAGTTCCCTTCAGTCATGTACTATTGTACATGGTGTCTATTCTTACTTTGGATAAATGGCAGTCATCTTGGCAGCTGCATATCCAGGCTTACAGGCTCCCTCACTGAGATTGCTGTACTTGTAGATCAGCTCCAAAGGCCTGCAGACATGAAGGAATTAAGTCAGATAATAATACAATTTTCACACAAACTATAGATACACATTACACAGCTTACAGAGCTGGAGTCACAGCTACACAGAGGGCTGGTGTAATGTTTAGTATTTCCTAGCTGACAGGTTTTTAATGAAAAATACTTATATATGACAAATAATAGTTAACTGATACTATCCCTGTAGTATAGTACCTTGACTGGAAGGTGAAATATGTAAAACATGTATACTCACAGACTACCATCCAGCTTCAGGAGGAATCCTTGCTTGTCATACACTAGAAGTGATAAAAGTAGGTACATTAAATCAATAACAGGTTGTTTTTACAACATTTAAGTAATTAAGTAAATACAATAAGAACATTTGGCAGAATGCTCCAATATTTGCAATGTTTAACAAGTAGGGTGAATGTGAAAGTCTGACAACACAGTTATCTCAGGGTTAAAGGTGTCAGTGTTTGTCATCAATGTCATTTGTAATTCTAATTGGTTGCCAGTCTCAAGAGTGCACACTGTAAGGTGCTACAGGCTGCGTAAGAATGACAACAACATGCAAGAATGGTATGCATTGCCTCTCTGATGCTTTTCATTTGCTTTTACAGTAACCTGAATGACCTGGAAAAAACCAAGCTCTGTCTTTGAGGAAGACCCAGGCATGGAGGATCCACCAAGCAGCTTAATGAGCGTCACTGTGCAGAACAAGTGGAGCAATGACCAGAAGTTCGAGGGAGGCCTTTGGTTATTATGGACCCAAAACATTTTTTAGACTTGTCATAATAACATGAGAGATTGCTAACCTGGTGTGTGCAGGGCTATTTGCCTCATGTGCACTTCCACTGTCGCACTACTAAATGCTCACTCTACCACCAGCTAGTGCCTACTCAAGCTGTGGTCCATGACATGTTTATTGTCCACACAGACAGCCATACCTCATAGTTTCAGCTGCAGTTGAAGCATGCTATGCAGTTCTTTTTCTCGTGTGAGAACTTACTTTCACTCTTTAGTTGTCACTCACACACAGAATCTCAGTCAATCTACAAAGACAAGCTGTCTGTACAAGTTGGGAAAAAATTATCCACAGTTTCCAAGTATCTGCTTTTCTGGCAGCTAAAATTGAACAGACTCAAGAAAAACTCAAATGCACTCTAACAAACATTTATTTGGCTCCACATAACATATTTTCTAATAAGGCCTGGACCCAGGTTAGCAGAGAATGAGCTAATCTCCATTTTCAACTTCATCAACCTATATATGGAATATAAGTACAGCCTTCATCCTTAGCAAACTGTGCACAAACATCCAATCTAACAGTCTCCCACATAGATAAATAGATGCTTTATTGATCCAGAGGGAAAGCAAATGCAGATATGTATTTACATGTAGGTTAAAAAGTAATTTTTGCTTATCAAAGAGGTGTATTTTCTGAAGACCTGTGCTGCTGCCAGCAGACCAAAGAAAAATAGGTTGTTGACTAAGAGAAGAAGAATAAAATTAGTTTTCTCAATTGATTCTGCTGATTTTTCCAGTGTAGAATAAATTAAATTAGAAAAAGTGGAAGACTGGACAAAAGAGGCATTTCCAAACTGAGATTGCCACCACAGCCTGATATCATAATTTGCGTCCCAGAAGAAAGTTGTGTTGAACTTACAGTGCTCTGGGAGGAAGACACAAAGGCAGCGTATGAAAAGAGAACCAAAGACCCTGGTTGCAGGGAGAATGACTCGAAAACTTAAACCCACCCAGCAGACGTTGGCCTCTGGGACTTTGTTGGCCATTCATTGACATGCACTGGACTGTCTGAAGAGGCAGAAGACTCCAGTTTCTGGTCCTAAGGACAGACCGAGGCTATAGATACCACAGAGGCATTTGGGTAGAAATATCTAGAGCAAGCCATTGTAAGGCTGAGGACCCAAGAAGTGGTGGAGGGAGCCCACAATGGAGGAACCCGACTTGGATAGGGCTAGCAAGCAAAGATCTACCAAAGAGAAAAAGCTAATTGTGGTTACAGGGGGGACCAGGATGAGGGAAGACAGCTATCTGGTGAAGGCAGTCAGCCAGAAAGTTCAGTTCTAGTGGACTGCATGGGGCTGCCAGACCACTATATTAATCTGACCACTTCAAGATATCAGAGGCAAGGATAAGCTTGCTACTAGAGCCATGTATGGCACCCTTCTGAGCCCAGCCAACCTAATTGAGGTATGGTGTTGAGGAGACGTTTGCCCTGTGCAGTGTGTGGTGGGAGTAAGTAGGTCTAGGACAGTAACCACAATACCAGGGTCATGTGATGCCTACCATATCGGCAAAATATGATCTTGGCCTGAAGGAAATGTTGTTAAATCTCTAATTGTTTATTTGTTCTGTGCTTTTGTTATAGAAACACAAACATTTAATTATATAGAGAGAAATTGAGGTCTCCTGAAAAAATGAAGTAGTGTACATCCAGCTGCAGAGAATGGCAGTGAAACATCTCTAAAAAGAGTTAAAGTGGCAAAACAGATGGGTGGTTCCTGATTGATGCTGTATCTACTCACTTGGCACAGGTGGAGGTGCGAGAGGCATCAAGTTCAATACCTCTTTGCTGAAAAGCCTATTCTTTAAAGTGGGATGAATTACTTGGCAATTAGTTTTACTTCACCTGGCTGTAAGGACATTTTAAACTGCTAAAATTATTAGTGTGGGAAAATGTCATCATATCACATTCATTGCAGTGTGGTACTGCATCAACTCTTCGTCCCTTAAAATAATACAATTTAATTGTTGGACAACCAATTACAATAATCTGACATAGATAATTCAAGATTAAAAGAAAAGGGTTAAAGTATATATTTTTGTCTTTATTCATTGACATGATTATCTATTTAAAAATATGTATATTCTTCTCCATATATTGATAGCTAAAACAGTGGATTTATTCTCAGCACTAGTAAAACACATTTATCAGCTAACCCTTTGAAAGTCTTAAAAACACTGTCAACCACTTGAAAAAGTTAACTTCATGTAGGTTGGCAATGGTATGAAACATTGTGTAGAACATAAATAATCAGTGTGGAGTGGGTTTCAGGCCAGTTTCCATTATCAATAACAGCACCAGAGAACAACTTCAATATTTCTGAAGTAGTGGAAAGATCTCAGAAAACTAAAACCACAATTGACACATTATGTCTCTAAGGAAATAAACTGGCTCCCCCAACTGGTAAAATGGTTACATTGAAAGCTTTTCCAGAATGTCCTTTCTCTGAATAGACATCACAAAGGACACATTTTTGCTGTAACAGATTCATATGTGCTTCACATTTCTTGTTAAAAACACATGTAAGAAAATGGAAGTTTGATAGGCAGACAGCCCTAAATGCATTTAGAATCATCAAGAAAGAGAAGATCAAGAAACTAAGTATTTGGTTGAAGAACATGTTTAATCTGATTTAATCATGAGCTGTCTATAAAACAAGTGCTGGCAAATATCAAAGCTGGATCTAAAAAATGTTCCCTAAACTGACGGACTGCACAAAAGAAGTTGGTGAAAATCATTGAAATAACAAATCAAAACTGAATACTATGAATGGTTGTGTGGAATCTGAATGTATAGGTTCTAACATTTCTTTGTTCACCTTAATACAGATAAAGTATGTTCCAAATATAAATTATGTAAAGCCTTGTTTTCAGCTGAAAAGTGAAACAGTACAACTAAGAGCTGAGCAGCTGAGTGAAACATAATAAAAAACTGACTAATCTACCCAGTAGTATTAACAGCAATATAGTAAAACAAAGAATCTTAACTTTGTGGGCCCAAATAAACAAGTCAAGTAACCCACCATGTCCAGTTTGATTATATTTTCTAACCATGTTCAGACCAAATATTAAGATCAGTCTGTGATTATTTGATTTCAAGCTGACAGCTCTGATTACTTCAGTTCATACCTGGTATTGTGTACATGATTTCTGTTAACAAAGAGCAAATTATAAAAGGCCCTCAGAGAGTGCATACCTCCACCAAGACTAACTTACTCAGTCACCATGTAAAAGAAAGAGAAAAAAAATCCTGGACCAGCAGTTTATCTAGAATGCCTTCCAAAAAGTGAATTGGATTAGTACTTTCAGTAGTTCAGTGATCCCATTGCAGACAAACAGCGATGACAACATAACCTTCTTGGTGAAGGTTAGGATATTTTTAGCCAGTCAAACTATCACAGATGGGACCTTTGTGTGTTTTATTTCAAAATCAAATAAGATTTTACTCATTAAATATATATATAAATCAACAGTGTTAACTTTGTGTCAGTGGCTACACATCATACAGATTATCTGAACCACTGAGAAGTGTAAGAATACTTTTACAATGAAACTGTAAATGTCCAAGGACACATTTTCATTCACACAGTGTATCTAAGCTCAGGACAATCAGGTGTGCTGGACAGTATGGAATCATTTAAGCAGTAAACTGTGAAGTTTCCTTGTGACTTTCCTCACAAAACTGATACTAAAGCTTCTAAAGAACCAAGCAAAGTGGATTGTTTTATTTACCAGCAGCTAAATGATGAGATGAGGGTTAAACCCTGAGGTGAACTACAACTGAGCTTAAGCTTCATGCATCCACAAGGATTTTCAACTCCACAGATTTTAAAAACATGGGAGACCTAAGACATAATAACAGATTTAACAGATTTTTTATCTCATAATCCTCAGAATGCAAACACTTGACTATTTTGCCAGTATGTAAGAACACACATTTGCCGTTTGTAGGAAAAAAGATTTCACAGTGGCTATTCCAGAGACTTGGAATCTCACACAAACCTATTCAGCTTTCTCTCTTTGGCTATTGCAGGTTTCTGTTGGAGCCAATTATAGTAAAGTTAAACCATGTTTGATATTGGCTGAACTCATATTGTATTACTAGTTGAAAAAAAGAACACGTTATTGTATCTTATAAATTGTAGTTTTGGGGAATTTTATTAAAGTGATAAAAGATAAAATCATGTTTGAAGTTTTCCCTGTGCTGACTGTTCGGACCAATCTCTGGAGCAGTGTTGCATGAATGTGTTCAAAGAGCACTATATGCAAAAAACTGAACATGAATGGGGGCGTTGTTCATTCTCACAGGACTGTCCGCCTAACTAAATTTTAGACTTATAGATTGAATATCCCCTTTGAAATCATGCAGTTGTTGCCCATATCCATAGTAAGTACAACATCTGAACATTATCTGTGACAAATTTTATTCTAATTACATTGAAGCAGAGCAAAGTTAAAAGTTTTATTCAGGACCGTCACATTGGATTGTTGGCTTTACCAGAATTATGGCCTAAAACAAAACTATTGTGGCAACAAATCCAGAGGTAAGACGTAATTTGCCTCAATCAGAGTCAGTGCAGACAATGTGTGTCAAACTAAAGCCCATTATAGAGGTATCATCATCATGTGATTAAGTGAAATGTTTCATCTCTCATCCAAGAGGCTTCTTCAGTTCAGTTCGACAGGTCTTGTTTGTAAAGAATAGATTCATGTCTCATGGCCACAAGTTATTGAACTAGTTCCCACAATTTAATAATTCCTAAGTGTAATATGTTACAATATTATCACCAGTAGAGCTGGACTTTTTCATGTGTCTGCGTGTCTCTAAATTGGAGGAAATAACTCCTTTGGGTGGGTGATATATTGTATATGATGGTTACACATCTCTCTCTCCTCTCCCTCCCTATTTTGGTGGCCCACAATAAGTCTGGTTTTAGGGCTTTCTTCCAGTTAATGAGGATTGTGTAAACTTTTGGGTTTCTCTATAATTTTTAAAGTCTTGACCCTCCTATGTTAAGCACCTTGAAATAATGTAAGATTGAACTGAATTGAATACAAATTCATCCCTACAAAAGTTTCATACCAATGTCACCAGGGGGCTCAAAAATCCTCTGAAATCGTATCTGAATATTAAATGAATCTCATTAATCTCAAGGGTTTATTCTCCTAAACTGAATTATAAATATTTATTAAGTACAGTAAATGTGGATAAATAGTTTACAGATTAACCTTTTGTTCTCTCAGACTCAAGCAAACAGCCCTCACCAAAAGATTAAAGTATTGAAGTATGTCTGGTTGGTTAAGTCAATCCCCACTGCTAACACACCGGTTCATGTCAATCTTTTTCTAGATGCACCAGGTGCATCTTTTTACCAAGGTACCAAATGTGCACAGTCACTCCCGCTGCGCACTGGACATGTAATCGTGCCATGCACGGTGTCCCATGGCGACAAAAATAGGAGCTTATGTTCTTAATGACTGATGTGTGATTGCAAATGTTTCCTCCACAGGTGGCTTAGCTGAAAATGGTTCTTTTGGGTGTTAAACCGTCTTACCCGCTGTTACGAAGTAAAGAATGCCCATATTGACAACTTTATTTCCAGTCTAACCTCGTCAGTGTCTGTAATGTCAACCAGCAACCCAGTTTCAAGAGCCCAAAAAAACAGATATCAGTGTGAACTAGTTCATTTTTGGGACAGTGAACTACAAAATGCTATCTTGTTTAGTCTTTATAAACTGAAATTGGAGCTAGCTCTTCTAAAATGTGAATTACATTCCTCTTGATTATGACAAAGGTTATTTCCGATATCACTCCATACCCTAAAATAGTTGTTGGAATGAACTAGTTCTGACAATTTTAAATGTGACAGTTAATAATTTGATTTAAGGTGATGTTGTCCAGAGTAGGTTTGTTCTATACTACCTTTTTCACATGATCTTTTTGTTGGCTCTTTGCTGTAAGTGCTCTTTTATGACTTCCATTATGAGTAAATGTCTCCAGGAGAGGGATCGGAATAAAAATCTAATATTTTGACCGGGACTGGCCCACCAAACCCTTCTATACACATCATACTGTGACAATCATGTAGTAAACAGAGTAAACATAAATTGAAATAAAAAAATTATTTACCTGAATGTGTTCTAATTTCATACAAACCTTCACTTGGACAAGGATGAACTGATTAGAGTTTTTGGTCAAAAGTCAAGGTCACTATGACCTCACAAAGCATAATTCTTGCCTTGTGAACGCAATATCTCCAGAAAGTCAGTCAAGTGCATGATTCATTGATTTGAGTTAAGCAGTCAAATGTCATGGTGGTCTCACAAAGTGAGTTTACACTACTCTTGAATGTGATATTTGAAGATCAGCTTGAGGGGATGTCTTTAAATTTGGTACAAACATTCACTTGGACAAATGAAAGGTCAAGGGCTCTGTGACGTCTCAAAACACATGTTTTGCCTTGTGAATGTGACATCTCAGGGACAAATTAGGTAATTGCTTTTTAATGCTGTTCATTTGCATTGTAATACACTGTATATGTATACAGAGCAGTAAAAACAGCAGCATACATATACATGAGTTATCTTCCCCTAGTGACTTTCTCCCTGAAGGTCTGAGCTGATCACATACACTTTGACTATTTTAACTGGTGTATCAGAATTTCTGTGGAACTCAGACTAACCTTATCTGAGCTTTTCAGACACATCTTTATAGTTGTTCTTTTCACATTATCAATCACATAAAGAGACAGTGACAGTCACTTGCAGGCTGCTCCAGTGTGTACACAATTTAACTAGAGGGGCCAAGTAGTGGGGCAGAAGTTCTGAACATAGTTAGCTGCTGAAGGGAGATGACCCAAAGGCCACCACTTGTATCAAAGAGTGCTATCACTGATAGTGCACTTCCCACTGCTCAATAAAACAAACAAGTTAAACAAGGTCATATTGTACATGACATTATGGCCACTTTAACTCACATGATTTGTGGCCCCAGCCTTGTAAGCTGATCCTCCCTGATGAGTAGTAGAGGAATCCTAGAGCCAGCATGGAGCACAGGCCCAGGAGGAGGTTGCGACTGGGTTTCATTTTCGTCTCCAGCTAGCATACATGGCCCACTGCGCACTGGAGCCTGTTTGAACAAGAGATAAACTAGTTAGCCTTGCACTCAAACACATCATGTTGTCACTTGATGCAATCACATACAAGAGGCTGAATGTCTCTGCAACAGAGCTCTCTTCCTGAGCAGAGAAATAATGGGAGATGGGTTAGAGACTTGTACTGTGTCACGCCCACATTAGAGCATTCGATGAAAGGTATTCAAAGGTCCAGTTACCAAACCCTGATGCTATAGGGTCAAGGAGGATTCTTGTTCAAGACTGGATAAGTTTCGGGCTCCATGTAGACTATGTGGAAATTACTTTGTGGTTATTAAATTAAATTCATGGCAAACCACAGACGTTTTACACTGATATGAAAGGGCAACACCTGCATTTTTACCTCATCTTTCACAATGAGTAGCCAGTAAGGGCCCACAGTGCCCATTGTCCCCGATTTAATTCAGCACTAACCTGGATCTAAGCATGCTCTATCAGTCCTGATCATATGATCAGATCAGCTAGTTCCAACAATCGCCCTACCCCTTCCTTGCTTAGTCCTTAAACACTGAATAAAAAGGATGTTCTGTCAATTGAACTCAATTCCATTGTATTTGTATAGTGCCAAATAACATCAAAAATTATTTTAAGGCATTCATTATAAATCTTAATGCTGTGTAGAAGGAAATGTTTTTAGTTTTATTTGTTTCTCTTTATATTTTCTTTATGCAACCAGATCAAGTTACTGCTTTTCTACATATCAAGCTGTGTTGAGACTAACTACTTTACATTAACAACTAAAACTTGTTTTTAGATTTGAAATGCAATGTCTAGTAATGGTACAAAATCTTCCCTCTGAATGCTGACGATCAGGCAGAATTGCACTGCCTTGTTGTAATCTTTGTTCTCCACTGTGCAATGAATAAAACCTACCTGAACCAGCCACAGACTTGAACAGTCACTTTTAGTCTTCCACAGTTGAAACCTCACAATATTAAAGAGAAACCCAACAGTTTTGTTTCACTAGAGGACACTAAATTATATTTAATGGTCAATGCTCTGTCCACTCTTTATTAATGAGAGTAAAATAAAAGAATAATAGAAATACTGCAATGCAGTTGTATGCCTCCACCAACCAGTGCTTAATTTCCCAGGGAATGATGCATGTATCTTGATGGTGCTATTCTAGTTATTAGTGATTACATTAGTTTTTAAATTCTCATAAATATAAAAGACAGAGGTGAGTCCACCCTTCACTGCAAACATGTTAAAAGGACAGAATATTGAATACTGAATATTGTTTTCCTTTTGACTGACTGTGTCATAAAACAAGGGATTTGAAAACATCATCCTCTACTTTGGGAAATTAAAAAAAACAGTTTTTAAAGCAATAAATAAATAAACCAAGCCAACAATCAGCTGACTCTATATTACATATAGTTATATAGAGAGTCAGCTATATATCTATTTCTATAGCACAAATTGCAAATCGTTTATGTGTGATATAAAGGAAATGTAAGTCCATTCATTCTGAAAGTATCTTCTTCTGTACAGTGAGTAATACTATGTTGTGAATGATGCCGTCTGAATTTCCTGTTCCTGCTATTCATACACAGTCTATGGTATCATCACAAGACAAAGGACTCCGCCTTTGTTTTCTTCAGTGTTTACAGAAAACACCAGTCTAGGCATCTGCTGGGGTTTTATGCTGGATCCTCTTTATATACAGTCTATGGCTGGATCACAATCCTGTGCTCCACACAAACAGATTTTATTTAGGCAATAGAAACTACATTGGTTTGATTTGCAGCTGTCATCATGGTCACTTGTGAAATTACTATCTGCACTTTAGTTTCTACAATGTCACTGATTTATTATCAATTGTATTACCATGTATGCATGAAATATATCAGTAATGCTGTTATATATATGTTATATATTTACCTAATTTCCCTTTGGGGATGAATAAAGTAAACTATCTATCTATATGTAATAATGCTATTCATTTCTTCCAGTTGAAAGGGACCTTTTCATTGTGAACTGTTACTCCGCAATATTTGAAGGTCTCTTCATTAATATGTTGATATAATATATGTTTTAATTTCGTTCTACAGATACAATACAATTAAATTGTCAGTTTTGTATAGGGCAACATTTTGTTAATTCAAAATCTGATGTCAAATTGGCTTTAAAAGTGAAGACTGCTGTACAGGTCTCCACTATTGTGTGACCACAGTACTATAGATCCTAATGTCACCAATTTCCATATGGTGTAAATTACCAAATCCTGCCGAATGCCTTACGATGCTGATTTCGTTATGTTCAGGAGGGGATGTTTCCTCTGTCATGGTGGAGTGTATGTACAGAGTATTATTCAGTGTTACTGTCCTGAAGAAAATTGTGCCTGTGAATGAGGGAAACACTACAACCAAGTGCCACCAAGTTACTGCAGCTAGCACGTTAACTATGTTGGGCTATCGCCTTTTAGCCGCAATGGAGTTAGCTCCCTTAATAACCGCTGATAATTGAAGTAGCAGTGGGTGGGAGACGTGAAGCTGCCATTCAACACGCCACATGGAGATGACAACACATATATCAGAGACAGGAGCAAAACGTTACATAGCAAGAGGCTAATAGACATGACTAGCTGACTACGCTAGCAAGGACTTCGCTCTGAGGCTCACACTCGTACCGGACGTGTACCGTTAATTCTCAAGTTGACCTCAGATCCGTCGGTAGCTGCTGCAGCGGCGCGCGCCCCCGGGCTCCTGACGAACGCATTGATCAACGGTAGCGTCACCAGAAAACCTCCCGGCGCTCACAGGCGACTCTGCTGCACTTCAGCGGAACATTTGGAGGGCCACGGCATGTCCCCCTCCCCTCCGAACAGCCCGCACACCAGGGGACTCGATACGCCCAGCTGTGTATGGAGACAGCGTCAAGCCAAACTCCATTCAAGAAATGTGGTATTTAACAACGCTATCAGCGACACGCGTGTATACATTGAGCAGAGGGGTGTTGAATAAAACCAGTAAGTGAGTTATTTATTCAGCACCAATTTAAAACCTTTCAATAGTTTGTGCTGAACAAGTAAGGCTAGATATTTAAAGGTCCAGTGTGTTAGATTTAGGTGAAAGGGAACAATTGGCAGAAATTTAATGTAGAATAATCCTTCAGTTGTCATAAAAACTCAAAAGGCCTCCATAGAGAGGACCCCCTCAATGTAAATATAGAGTATTTAAATATAAAGGGCCTTTTCTGGTGTAAAGAAAACTACAATTCATACAATTTAGATGAAATGAGCTGGTGAAAACATCATGAGGATTATTCTACATTAAATTTCTGACAATAGTTCCCTTTCACGTAAATCTTACACACTGGACCTTCAACTACACAAATTGTATATGGGATAAGTGGCAAGGGAGGTGTAGCTGCACCGGTCCAATAATGATGGCCACGCATCATACAGATGTTTTTCAAAGTTTTTTATTTTATCTATAGCTTCCTCAAACACCGTGAAAACTACAACAGAATAAAAGACACAAACAAAATGCATCAAATTCTTCATTTAAAGGCACTAGAAACAAAATTATACAAATATATAACACAAATGAAACTACAAATGTCAGGTTACCGTGTGCGCCTCTTGGACCATGCAGATTATAAGTATTTTAGGGCCTCTGCAGCCAGGATGGCTCTCTACTTTGCAACCGTACCGGCTCTTTCCTTCTCTTTTGCCCACAATGCATAATGCATAATGCAACTCTCTGGTCATGTGTTATCTCTTTGTTATCAGGTTGCTCCAATAAGTCTCTCAGGACTTTGCAGCTAATTCAGAATGCTGCTGCACGTGTTCTAACAGGAACCAAGATCAAAGATCACATCTCTCCCATTTTGGCTTCTTTACATTGGCTACCGGTTAAATCCAGAATAGAATTTAAAATTATCCTCCTTACATACAAAGCTCTTCATGGGCAAGCACCATCATATCTTAAAGATCTCATACCCTACTACCCCTCCAGAACACTACGCTCTCAGAATGCTGGGTTCCTTGTGGTTCCCATAGTCTTCAAAAGTAGATTGGGAGCCAGAGCTTTTAGTTATCAAGCTCCACTTCTGTGGAACAAACCACCATTTTGGGTTCGGGAGGCAGACACGGTCAACACTTTTAAGATCAGACTTAAGACTTTCCTCTTTGATAGAGCTTATAGTTAGGGCTGGCTCAGGTCAGCCCTTAGTTATGCTGCTTAAGGATAAGACGGCCGGGACCCCCCCCCTCTATTATCATCCCCATCTCTAAACATACATGTCTCATTAATGCATGTTACTAACYAAACTTCTTCCCTGGAGTTTCTGTGCTCTCTCGTCCAGCAGGTTCTCATGGATCATGGCTGCTCCCTGTATTGGATCGTGGTTGCCACTACTGCCATGGCCCTGCCTGACATCCACTCTTGTTATTGCTATTAGTCATAATTCCATGACATTAATATTAACTTGTTTATTATTGTAGCATTGTTGTATACCACCACTGCTAACCACTGCTACTGTAATCATTGTCTTTCATTGTAATTGTACGATATGTTTCTGTTGCGTTGTTCTGTACACGTGACATCCATTGTATGTCTGTCCGTCCTGGGAGAGGGATCCCTCCTCCCTGAGGATTCTACCACCTTCTTTTCCCTGTTAAAAGGGTTTTTGTGGGCAAGTTTTTCCTCACTCGAACTGCGGGGCCTAAGGACAGAGGGTGTCACTACCTGTACAGATTATAAAGCAATCTGAGGCAAAATTTGTTTTGTGAAATTGGGCTATACAAATAAAATTTGATTTGATTTGATTTGATGTGACCTGTTACACGTCACATCTTTATTTTTTTACCTTTTAATCAACTTTTATACAGGTATGAATTCTAACATTGCTGAAATGAAAAACGAAAAATATAAAATAAACACTTTAATGAAATCTAAATCAAGAATGTCTCTCAGACAGTTACAGGAGGGATGAAGAAGATCCCTCAAGAGGGAAATACCTACAGTCTATGGTTATACTGCATCAATATGACCTTTAGAAATCAAAGGCATCAAAGTGTTTTTCATGTTAAGGACAGGGTAACCACTGTAAAGGAATGTGACCCTTGGATTTACATCTTGCCTTTGTGCTAAAGGAATTTTAAAGCAGAACAACACTTGACAAAACAGGAGCTGCATTCAAAGAAAAGGTATTTCAAACATCCAGAACCATCAATTTGCTCCTACAAACCCAGAGCAGGTACAAAATAATATTTTAATTTCTTTATGTTATGTGTAACCCATCCATAAATCTTATTAGTTCAGTGTATAAGATTTCTTTTACAGGGATCTGTCGAAAGAAATTGAATATGAAATAATCCTTTATGTTTTCACTATTGTGTAATTTCCTGAATTTAACTGTTATTATAATTACCCAAGAAGGGGCCATTTAAATACATTATATTTACATCAAGAGTCGGTCCTCCCTATGGAGAGAGATGTTTTCTACAGTAGTCCAAACTGGACAAATTAATCACCCTTGAGTTTTTATGAAAACTGAAGGCTACCACAGGTTCTCTTTCATGTTTGGAAGGGAGGGTGACATGAGAGGTATTCAGTGAAACATGCAACTCAACCACTAGATGTCTCTAACTTCTACACACCGAACCTTTAAATGTTTCTTAACTACATACCATTGTTTTCACAGTGTAGATAAACAAATCTGTATACTTTGTACATTAAGAAAGTTTGATTCAAAAGCAACTGTAGACGCAGATAAACAGGCGATACAACTTTAACAGACTGTGCACACACTCCTGCAGATTGCAATCACTTTCTGGCAGACGATCACTTTTTGGAACAACACCGGTTCACCACTTATTTGTGAAAGAATGGAAAGTAACAACACACACAGTAACAACGGTCAGCGAAACCCATAAATGAGGTGAGACGATCCTTATCTCCATATTTTCTTCATGGGATTGTGTATGGACAAAACAATAATTTCAAACCTACTTATGTTTTGCCGAATTATTTTCAATGGAGTTCTGTGAGCTGCAGTTACAGGAAGTGTTTGTTCTGATCTGTCTGCAAAAAGGTGTGATCAGACTTACTCCTGCATGATGCTTAAACATGAGGTTATCAAATTATATGAATGTTGACAAAACAATTATACAGACTTAAATACAGCACATGTTGCATTTCTAAATTTTCTACATGTATTTCTATTTTGCAGAAGAATACAAAATAATATATAAATTGGATGTCCACAGGAAGAAAGGATCCCCTGTGGCATTCAGTGGAGTTTTGCATGTCTTATGCACACTCTGAATGGCCTTATTGCTAAAATGCTGTACAAACTTAATAACTTATATAGTATTCACTATGTGCACTGATATCTAGGAAGCAGCCCGGTTCTCAGAGAGCCCAGACTGGGTCCCTACGGACCACAGAGTACCAGGAGAAGCTCTGCGATCCAAGCAGTTATAAGACTTTGGTCTTCACAGTACCACAGGCAGACCTCTTCCATCCACTGGCTGGCACAAAATACATGCCAATGACCACTTTTAGGTATGTTCTTTGTCTGTCAATATATGTATACATGAGGGTATTGTGTATAGAGAGATAGTGGGGTATGGCATGTTTTGAATCCCTGTGCCCCAACTTTTAATTTAATTCATAAAAATATGTTTCAGGAAAAAATATATCCGCTGCAAACAGATGAAAGTCCCACCAAAGGCCCCAACACCGGTTTTGCCACCAGAGTCCCCAGAGACCCCAGGGCCATTTTTGCCACTAGAGGCCCCAATGCCATCTTTGCCACCAGAGGACCCAGAGCCATCTTGGTTGCCAGAGGCCCCAAAGCCATCTTGGTTGCCAGAGGCCCCAAAGCCATCTTGGTTGCCAGAGTACCAATTGCCACCTTGGTGGCCAAAGGTCCCAGACTCACCTCGATTCATCACCACTTACAAATCTGATTTTGTGGTCCACCCACTGCAGCCCAGGGAGAGCCCTTTGAAAATAACTTCCACTCTTTGCTTAAATTGATATAGATGGCTTCCTTTTCCTCCTGCATCATCACTTTACCCCACCTCCTTTATCCTTGTTCTTTCTGTTCTTCATTCTTGCAAATGATCATCATATTTCCATCTCTCAAGACTTTTTAACTCTTTTTTTAACACTTTTTAATCTCACCTACTTGATATTTTAATATTGGGGTTAACTTTACTGGGCTCAAAGATTGGACTCCATTTTCCCCTAGTATCCCCATGCTCTTTGTGGGAACTGTTGGGTTTATCTATATTCATCCGATTTTAAGGTCTTGACCTTCTATGTAAAGTGCCTTCAGATAATGTATATCTCTCTATATATATATTTGGCACTATACAAATAAAATTGAATTGAATTTCACTTGTGCAGTATTAGTACTTTAGTTTGCTCGTCGCCCTCCACTCCAGCAGGGGTCACTGTTGGCTTTGAACTCTGTGTCTCTGTTTACCTGCCGCTGACTGTGTTTGTTCGCTCAGAGACTTGAAGTGTGCAGAAAGGAGGACAATGTCCGCCGTGCAGCTGCTGCGGGTGTCGGTACATGAACGGATCAACGCTGAAGACTTTCTCCTGCAGGTACAGGAAGGAGAAGAAACGGCTGAAGTCGCGGCGCTGAGAGCGCTGCTCACCGAGCAGGTAACGGCGGCCGCGTAGGAGATCCTCGCCGTGTTGAGAAGGGGCTAGCTGCAGACCTCTACTGTGAGGTCGCTTCCGGTGCAGGTTCCACTGTCAGAGCACCTCCATTGTCAGGACGGGAAGGTGAGGAGGACATTTTGAGAGGGACATTTTCACCAGCCTTTTAATTCGAGAGAGACCAGTGAGTGAGCGTGTGTAGTAGCGCTGAGTTGTAGATTTTATTATCCACAGAAAGTAAATGGATGTTTTTTTGTGTTCTTCATTAATATAGGTGCCATAAAATAGTAGCGTTATAGAAGTCATTCATGATGCAAATTACCGAATGTTACATGTCGGTTTGTGTTGTCGTTTTGAAGCTAGATGACTTCAAAGTTAACTTTAACGGTTAGCATCAACACCTACGGATTCTTAACTTTTTAGTGCATGACGTAAAGTGACTGTTCGCATTTGTTTGTTTGTATGTAACGTTATAAAATATTTTCCAAACTCTCCTTGCATTAGGTGCGCATAGTCACAAAGTTGAAAACGTGTCTTTCTGAACTCACGAACGTGATATGACAGCCAATCTACCAACACGATGCAACACACCATGATGTTTTTCCAGAGGTCGACTAGCTAATGATATCACCTGTTTAAGTGCACAAGTGGAATCAAAATGTGGCAGAACTACATGGCACATTTTTACTTTTTTAGTTTTCCACCTCTGTTGTGTACTACAGTATATTAAAACAAAATGATTGGTAACTGAAATGCTTCTGCACCATCAGTACTTTTATTTTTGATACTTGATGTTCTGCTGTGCTCCATGTGGTATCAAAATAATGTTATTATTAATGACTTTGCCTCACACGGAGCACCAAAAATCTTGTGATTATGTACTTTCCCTCGCGTGGGGTACGATTATGTACTTTCCCTTGCGTGGGCTACGATTATGTACTTTCCTTCACATGGGGCACCAATAAATGGTGTGCTTTTGGGCAGTCAATAAATGTGGCTATCAGAGAATTATTAATATTAAAAATATTAATATTAAATANAAAAAGAAAAGCCAATTTATTGAATAAGTCTCATGAAATTACTGATAATAACATATTACCAAATATCACAACAAAACAAGTCAAACTTATAAACATCACATGAAATATAAATAGGATTAAACAGTCCTTTGCTTAGCCTAGCCTTTTTGGGTGTGCTGTTTGAAGTCCAGTGAAGTGGTCTTGTTGGTTTGTGGATCCTGTTGTGCATCTGCTGGTCAGACCTTGTGTTGTGGCCAGTTGTGCTGAAGTTCTTAGGCAGCCTCTTGCGTCGCTGCCTTTGGAAGGTTTAAGCAGTCTGCTCTAGGTAGGCCTGCCTGAAGTTGAGGAGCTTGGGTAGGGAGGAAGTCTCCCTGGCTGGGAGAGTAGGGCCAGAACCTACTCCTCCAGGGGTGGTCAGCAGGGGAAGAGCAGAAGAGATAAGAGAGCTAGGAGAGGGGAAACTCTGGTTATATTGGCCTTGTGACCTCATGGGTCATTGGGCACACAGTGACCAATAGTGGTTGAGAGTTGTCTCCAGGAGCAGTTTTACCACCTATGTGCGAAGATGAAGAACCCTGGGAGACTGAGTTCTGGAAGCTCTCCTTTGTCTCCAGAACAAAGGAGACATGCGGCTTTTGACTACACATGTAGGCCCAACTATGGTTCACAGATACCAGGTCCTAACATTGAGTATATTTTGCTTCGAACATAACTTACTAAATTACTTAAGTGTATTGTTTTGTCCACTTTCACTTCAGTAAGTACTTCCGTAGTCATTATTTCGCTTATTAAGCTTTTTCACAGTATCTATTGGGCACATACTGTTGGTGCAGCAGCTATGGTACAGACATCTTTCTTTCTGTCTTTTCCATAGGACTCGGTTGAAGATTGCATTCTTCGCGATTGCAGACACGCAGCAGAGTGGGTTGAGGCCAACAAACAACTGTTCTCTGCCAAACTGGACCTGCCCGATGTTCTGTGCATGGGGGAGGAGGAACAGGCAGAGGCTGCTCTGCAATATGGGAGGGTGTGGACAGAAGAAGTGGATGAGCATGAAAAGGAAGCAATCCTGGAGCCCTTCAAGTTCATATTTTCAACACAAAGGATATGTGGAAATTCTGTGAAGAAATAATAGACCAAAGAAATGATTTGGCCTATTGTGAATGTCACACAGATGAGTGAGTTATTGTGTTCGAAAATAAAGGGCTACAGAACATTTGATCATGTTGTGACTTGGTGTGTTTTTTATGTTTTTCTCATTGATCACTTAATAATTTTACTTGGATTATACTGTAGATATCAAGAGTTAGGGTAGTATTTAGTGGTACTTAGGTGTTCCAGCAGCACAAGAACATAATTAGCATAGACATAGAACCAAACATAAAAGTTATGGTGGTTAAGCATAAAAATACAGTAGCCTATAATACAGCAGAAAAAACGAATTGAAAAAAATATATAGAAAAAGAGCAGTGCAATAAAGTCAAAATTAAATGATAATGAAAAGGCAGCAAAGTACTCTGCATAGTACACAATAAAATGTAAAGGCCTATGACATCTTATGAGATGTTGGCTTATGAATATGAGTAATATCTTAAGAGAAGATGTGTGCACTGACCAATGTTATTCCTGCCCTCCATTGTTTTAATTGATCAACTATTTGACCTCTTTTCAATATCCTCAGCTTTATAGTAGGCTACAAATAGGCTACAAATAAACAATTGAATTTTTGTTCTAGTTAAAAGTTTCATAGAGAGTAGTAGAGCCTCCGATTTTTAGGAGTGTGTTTTTATTTTGGTACTTTTTTGAACAGAGTTTGGTTCTCCTCCTTTGGGAGTGTTTTGAGTTTTTAGTTCTTCTTTGGTGGTGGATCAACTTTCTCTTAAAACCCTTTCTGGAGCTGCACCTTAATTTCATTGTATGTTGTACAACAACAATAAAGTTTCTATTCTATTCTATTCTATTTTGTCACTCTGTCTGAGATTGGAGAGTAACCCCAATAAAGTCTGCTTTAACTGTCATTACTCTGCATCTGAGTCCTCTGTAAAGTCCAGGTCTGACATCCTGACAGTGGAAGTGGAGGTGGCCTGACAGTGGAAGTGGCCTGACTGACAGTGGAGGTGGCCTTACTGACAGTGGAGGTGGCCTGACAGTGGAGCCTGCACCGGAAGCGACCTCACAGTGGAGGTCTGCAGCCAGGACCTCTTGAAAGATTTAGACATAAGCGCCATCTAACTATACATATGAGATGTCATACAGGAGAGAAACCCTTTAGTTGCACTGAGTGTGGTAAAAGATTTAACCAAAAGAACCATGAGCATTCATACAGGAGACAAACCCTTTAGTTGCACTGAGTGTGGTAAAAGATTTAGCCAAAAGAACCATGAGCATTCATACAGGAGACAAACCCTTTAGTTGCTCATAGTGTGCTAAAACAAATTACAATAAGTCCAACATTATATATGTGTATATATACTGTATGTATATATACTTCTATAGAAGTCATCAAATCAAATCAAAATTTATTTGTATAGCCCAAATTCACAAAACACTTTTTGCCTCAGAGGGCTTTACAATCTGTACAATTAGTGACACCCTCTGTCCTTAGACCCTCGGTTCGAGTGAGGAAAAACTTGCCCACAAAAAACCCTTTTAACAGGGAAAAGAAGGTGGAAGAAACCTCAGGGAGAGCCACAGAGGAGGGATCCCTCTCCCAGGACAGACAGACGTGCAATGGATGTCACGTGTACAGAACAACGCAACAGAAACATATTGCACAATTACAATGAAAAACAATGATTACAGTAGCAGTGGTGGTAATATGTAACAATGCTACAATAATAAACAAGTTAATACTAATGTCATGGAATTATGACTAATAGCAATAACAAGAGTGGATGTCAGGCAAGGCCATGGCAGTAGTGGCAACCACGATCCAATACAGGGAGCAGCCATGATCCATGAGAACCTGCTGGACGAGAGAGCACAGAAACTCAGGGGAAGAAGTTTAGTTAGTAACATGCATTAATGAGACATGTATGTTTAGAGATGGGGATGATGATAGAGAGAGAGAGGGGGGGTAGAAGATGATGTGAGATTGTGCTGAGAGCTATTTTAGACAGAGCAGGGTGGGTGGCTGTATGGCGGCAGGGAAAATTGGTCTGTGTGTGTGTGTGTGTGTCCCCGCAGTCTTATCCTAACTATAAGCTCTATCAAAGAGGAAAGTCTTAAGTCTACTCTTAAAAGTGTTGACCTTGTCTGCCTCCTGAACCCAAAATGGTAGTTTGTTCCACAGAAGAGGAGCTTGATAACTAAAAGCTCTGGCTCCCAATCTACTTTTGAAGACTACGGGAACCACAAGGAACCCAGCATTCTGAGAGCGTAGGGTTCTGGAGGGGTAGTAGGGTACTATGAGCTCTTTAAGATATGATGGTGCTTACCCATGAAGAGCTTTGTATGTAAGGAGGATAATTTTAAATTCTATTCTGGATTTAACCGGTAGCCAATGTAAAGAAGCCAAAATGGGAGAGATGTGATCTCTGATCTTGGTTCCTGTTAGAACACGTGCAGCAGCATTCTGAATTAGCTGCAAAGTCCTAAGAGACTTATTGGAGCAACCTGATAACAAGGAGTTGCAATAGTCCAGCCTAGAAGTAACAAATGCGTGGACTAGTTTTTCTGCATCTGCTTGAGATACAATGTGTCTAATTTTGGCGATGTTACGTAAGTAGAAGAAAGCAGTCTTTGAAATTTGTTTTATATGGACATTAAAAGACAGAACCTGATCAAAAACAACTCCGAGATTCTTAACGGTGGAGCTGGAGGCGAGGGTGATCCCGTCTAAAGTAACTAAGTCTCTAGAAAGAGAGTTTATGAGGTTTTTGGGTCCAATTACAAGAACTTCAGTTTTGTCTGAATTTAGCATCAGGAAATTGTAGGTCATCCACCTTTTTATATCCTTAAGACATTCTTGAAGTTTAATTAACTGATTGGTTTCATCAGGCTTGATCGACAAGTATAATTGGGTAAAATCAGCATACAAATGAAAATTAATGGAGTGATTCCTAATAATGTTCCCTAAAGGAATCATATATAAACTGAATAGAAGTGGTCCTAACACAGAACCTTGTGGGACTCTGTGACAAACTTTGGTATGTACGGAGGATTCATCATTGATATGAACAAACTGGGATCGATCTAAAAAATAGGACTTAACCCAGCTTAAGGCGGTTCCTTTGATGCCAATATGATTTTCTAGTCTCTGTAAAAGAATTTGATGGTCAATGGTGTCGAATGCAGCACTGAGATCTAACAAAACAAGTACAGAGATGAGTCCTTTGTCTGAAGCCATTAGGAGGTCATTTGTAACTTTGACTAGTGCAGTCTCTGTGCTATGATGCACTCTAAATCCTGACTGAAAATCCTCAAATAAACTGTTCTTATGGAGAAAGTCACGCAGCTGATTGGCTACAGCTTTCTCAAGGAGCTTCGAGAGAAAGGGAAGATTTGATATTGGTATGTAATTGGGTAAAACCTCTGGATCTAGAGTGGGCTTTTTAGTCTGTGGTACAAATCCTGATAATAAAGGCAGATTAATCATGTCCAATAAAGACGGGCTAACTAGAGGTAGAACATCCTTGAGCAGCCTGGTTGGGATGGGGTCTAAGAGACAGGTGGACGGCTTTGATGAAGAAATTAATGAAGTTATTTGATGAAGGTCGATGGGGGAAAAACAGTCTAAAAATAATTTTGGTTTTACAGCTGTTTTCAAACTTGCTGTGTACGAGTGCAGATCAGTGCCTGTTGAGGGCAGGAGGTGATGAATTTTGTCTCGAATAGATATAATTTTATCATTAAAGAAGCTCATGAAGTCATTACTACTTAGACCTAACGGAATAGATGGCTCAATAGAGCTGAGGCTCTCTGTTAGCCTGGCTACAGTGCTGAAGAGAAACCTGGGGTTGTTCTTATTTTCCTCTATTAATGATGAGTAATAGGCTGCTCTGGCATCACGGAGAGCCTTCCTGTATGTTTTAAGATTGTCTAGCCAGACTAAACAAGATTCTTCCAGTTTAGTGGCACGCCATTTACGATCAGATTTACGTGCCTCTTGCTTTAAGCTGCGAGTCTGCTGGCTATACCATGGTGCTAACCTCCTTTGTTTAATTATCTTCTTTTTCAGAGGTGCAATAGAGTCAAGAGTTGTTTGTAAAGAGCCTAT